GATTGCTTCCCCTCATCGAGAAATAACAAGGCCTGAGGCAGGATGTTATTAGGTTGTAATGTGCATCAAAGTGCTTGTTTCCAGGAACCAACCTGGTTCGTGAATCATAGGGCTGAATAGAATTGAGAATCTACTGTGATCTGACTTGTACTGGCGATGCCTCATCGCAGATCGCCTGTTTCTTCAACGAGAAACTTAGGGCTTCGACCTGTGGGTATTTTTCAAGTCATACGAATATGAAGTGCATTGTTCAAAAATTACATGATATCGATGCAAAAGCTACGTCCTCAATTCTCGTAACTGATCACTAGTTATTAGATGCACAGCTTGAAATTAGTCACAGACGAGTTACCCAAGGCATAGCGACAATTCTACCATGATTTCAGTGGTTTCAGCGGCAACCCAAAGGACTTTGGATTGTCTAACAAAGTCAAATGCTCTGACTTTTGCAGACAATTTCCTTTAATCAGTATATATGTTCCTTTCCTTTTAGTCTTTTCCTCCTACAAAAGAAAAAGTTACCACTAATTTTAGAGTCACAGTCCATGGCTGAAACCTGTAGCCACTAACTGAGTCCACAAAAGAAGAATATGCTTATAATAATTACTCCTCAAAAACTGTTATCTTCAGCAACAAATTATCAGAAGAAACTATTATTTACATTTCTAACCACAGCAGAAATTAACAAAAGAGCAAAGAGGTGTGCGTATATTGACTTCTAATGGGGAAAAAAGCTAAAACAATAAAAGAAATTGAAAAAAAAAAACTAGGTGGTAAAAGATCATGGGCGTGGGTGACCCATTTAGGATAGAAATTAAAAATGGAAAAAAAAAACAATTAAATTCATATCACAACACTGTTAAGCTACTGTTACTTGAGTATCTAGCCCTTGTCCTCTCAGGTGAAGGGCCCTCATCCGCTGCTTTCCTCTTGTTGCCACTGGATGGAGACTGATTTTGCTCTTGGTTTTCTTCTTGTTGCTGTTTTTGGTCTCTACCCCTCCCTTTTAGCATGTGAGGTCTGAGCCTGTTCATGTCCGATAACTTCACCGGTTTTAGTAAGAACTCCTCCGCTCCTTCTTCCAAGCATCTGATCATGACCCATCAAATAAAGTTTCCATACTTAGTAATGAGAAAAGAAAATACAATCAAAACATTTTTGGTTTTTTTCGATTGCTTTTACGTATCCTTTTCTGACCCATCGTCGGAATAAAATCTAAGAAGAACAAGGGAAAGATCCCGGCCGTGATGTTGACTCATTCCCACAAAAAAGTTAAAAGATTTTTCCTTAATTATTTATGCGGTTAGCGAAAGATTAGACCGCTAAAACAACTTTTCCATATGTTTTGGGAGTGACTTACACATGTTTTAGTCTTGCAAGCTGCCTTTTTAAAACAAAAATTGCAGTGGGCATCAAGCAATTAATAGCACGGAATCTGAGAAAAGTTTCCACCCATTCCTTCATTTATTTTCTGGGCGGAGGAAGAGTGAATTCTTTCATCAGATGTCCCATCTCTATTAATATTCTTCCAACAAAATCCCATGATTCAAAGGTTGATGGTGCCAAAATTCATTCTAATTGAACCAATCAGATCATAGATTTTATTCCTTCGTATAAAACATTAACGACACATTTCCATCTCAATCAAACTTCATCTCTATAATTACATTTAAATTCAGTTGAAGTTATGAGAATTTAGCATTTTTATTTGTTCTCATCTGTTAAATGTTCTTCCATAAATTCACCAAGAAAATGATGATTCAAAGTTTTGTTGACAATATTCTTTTTATTTTATTTTTCCCTTTCATATATCAAACAATAAAGACACATACCCATCTCAATCATATTTTCCCCCCTTCATATATCAAACAATAAAGACACATAACCATCTCAATCATACTACATAACTAAAATTTTATTTAAATCCTAACAAGTTTATGAGAATTTTAAGATTTTTTTATTTGTGTTCACCTGTTGATCCTTGAAGGCACATTCTCAGATGACATGATCACAACTGGGATATCCTTGAGAGATTGTGATTCCTAATTCAATTATATTGAAAATAATTAAATAAGAATTTTTTTCCGATGCCAAAAAAAACGAAAAAAACGAAAAGCCTAAATAACAATGAAAAATCAAATTAAAAGAGGAGTACCTTAATTTTCTTTAGCAGATCATAGCCCGTCATTCCAGGCATACAATAGTCTGTAATCACCAAATTCACCTCAATTTCCTGAATCAATAACAAACAGTAACCATTTAAAAAAATCATCCAAAATAAATAAATAACAAATTAAATTTCCAAAAAGTATATGTAAAAAGCTCACATTTTGTTCAGGAGTAGTAGAAGAAGAATCAGAAGATGATGAATCTACTTGCTCATCTTGCTGCAACCCAAGAAATTCCAGAGCTTTGCTTCCAGAATCCACAGTAGTAACTGAAACACCATCGAAACAATTTTAAAAAAAAGAAGGAAAATTAAAGAAAAATAAGGAATTGGTAATTCTCAAATTGTTGATTACCTTGATAAGATGAGGTCTTGAGAAGCCTCTCAATGAGCTTTCTATCAATGATGCTGTCGTCGACAGCTAAAACATGAAATTGGGTCTCTGTAGCAATGGCCATTGAGCTTGAATTCGATAAGATCTCTTTCTTCTGAAGATGGGAGATGAAGAAAAGATGAAGGTTTGGGTTGGTGGGTGATGGTTTAATTTTTGTTGGGTTTTTGGTTTTCTTTATATATAATGGAATCTCTTCAGATGAAGAAAATACATAAACCCCACCAAAATCCAAAGCAAGATACGAGGAGATATCAACTAAAATCTCTTCAAGAATTCACTCATTTTTGAATTGGAGAGCAAGCAAAGATACAAGCTCGGCTTCTTGTTGTTGTATCTCCTCTCTCTCTCTCTCTCTCTCTCGTCCCCCACTTTTATTAATTTGGAGTGTTGTGTTGTTTTATTAGAGGGATTGTGGTAGGATGACCCGCGGGTTTTTTAAGTAACAAGGTTTTTTTTTGCGCGTCGACCCTTGAATGTCACTTTTGTGCAAGCAGTGGAATTATTCAATTTTCACATGACCAACTTTCGAGCTCTACTTTTACCATTTCAAATGTTGACGTGTGAATATAGAGGATTTGGGTAGAGAAAAAACTTAATGTAATATGGATAATAATTCTCTTAGATCTAAGTCTGAAATTAGTGAATTATTTGTATCCGGTTATAATTGTGCAGCACATTAAGGTTATATACACCCAACATGGTAAACTTAAATTTATGTCATATGAGTTTAGACACTCTCTCTTGTCGGAGTTTCTAAGAAATCATTCAAATTGCATTGTAATTACCAACTGTTTAATCCACCTACCAACATATAAATAAAAATTTTATATTTGCCTATACACAATTGTTGTTGTTGGGTGACAAATGCATGTTATAACTAACTCTACATATCCTTTAGAATAAAACAAGCACAAAATCTTTCATGTAAAATGATGTATCATTGTCATGATGTATATAAAAGCTCTAGTAAATTATCATGCACTTTTAATTTTTTTTTGCATCAACCTGCCCGACTCGTCTGATTTTATTACATTTCTAAACCAAAGCAACATGACCTTTTTCACTCTATTGAAATTAGTGTTAGTCACAAGCATAGAGTACTAGTTGGACTGTGATAATAAAACATGGAATTGAAATGCGAAAATATCGTGCTCAAATTCAACCTACGACCTTATTTAAGAAGAAAAAGAAGATAATATATATTATCCTCATTTAAAAAGAAGGTAATATATGTGGTAATTTGAGGGGTATATGTGCAAGAAGCACAAAAAAGGTCGGTAAAGGTGGAGTGTGGGATTATTATAGTTAGAGATGAGCAAGGGGACAACTAAAGGAATGCTCCTACGTTTGAGATTGGGATTGAGATTGGGTTGTCTAATGAAAGCTAAAGGGTGGTGGGTGGTGGTGGCCCACCGAAATCCCCTCACAAGATCCGCTGACGTCACTCATTGCCTTGGCTTCTCTCCCTCTCTCCTACATTTTTTTTTTCATTGATTTGTTGTGAAATCATGTGGTCTTCTTCTTTACCGTATCTTCTCGAGAGCAGTTGAGGAATAGAGATGGTGCACTTGGGCGAGGCGATTCCCATGTGAATCCTTCCACACCAAAAGATTTGCTTCCCTCAAATTTCTCTCCGATCTTCCTCTTTCTCTCTCTGTTCTTTTATATTTTTAATTTTTATAAGTTTGTACTGGAGAATATTTTCGATCCCCTCAAGCTGGAAAGAATAACAAAAAAGATCACGGCTGAACAAGAAAGATTATGAGGAAATATCTGAGTTCAAACTCGGAAAGGCCCCTATGGTTTGCGCCATAAATCTATTAAGCCCCCAGGCTATTATTTGGATCTATTAAGCACCTATACTTTTTATTTTGAATCTATTTAGCCCCTATGGTGTTTCTCCATAACTAAAAAGTAGATTCAATAAGACAAAAATACCCTTTTTTAGTTATGAAGAAACACCATAGGGGCTAAATAGATTCAAAATAAAAGGCATAGGGGCTTAATAGATCCAAATAATAGTCTGGGGGCTTAATAGATTTACAGCGCAAACCACAAGGGCCTTTCTGAGTTTGAACTCGAAATATCTGTAAGGATATAGATATAATTACTAAAATCCATAAGCGAAAATTGTTATATAGTGAAGTATAAGCCGAAATATTTGTATATATAGTAGTCATATTGTTGTAACAGTTTTACTCCTTAGATTAATGGATTTGAGGTTAATTTTGTTGATAAAATGTCTAACATTAGCTGTTTAGATATAACTGACATATTAAGTTAATGAACTCCCTTCTATCATATATATTATATAATATATAGTAATATCAATATATATAAATATACTATATAATACTATATATATAATATATATATAGGTAATGTTTTCCTAAGGTGACACATTTAGATCCCACCATAGGAAGCGCCTATAATCACATCATCCTTTTTTTTTTGCGATCCGCTCCGGTTGAACTTGATCTACAAATTCTTAAACCCAAATACATTAATTTTAGGGTGAATCCGCGTGTTTTGACGCTTCGTTGAGCCGTGCAAAAAGTTCTATTCATTCGAAACCATTAAAATAGGTGTAAGTGGATGAAGGGTCAAAAACACGACGGGTTCACCCAAAAAATTGATGTTTAGGTTTAAAACGTGTAGATCAAGTTCAACGCGAGCGGATCGCAAAAAAAATAAAGAGAATGATGTGATTTTTAGACCGCGTCCTTAGGTGGGAATTAAGGTGTCACCTTAGAAAACATTTCCTCTATAGGGAAAAGTGATTTCTAAGGTGACACCTTAGATACCACCAAAGGGAATGGCCAAAATCCACATCATTTCCTATTGTTTTTCCGATCCGTCCGTTAAACTTGAGTATATGATTATATATATATATATATATAGTATCATATATATATATATATAAATACATATATATATATATATTACTTATATATGGAAAAGTGCATCTAAGGTGACACTTAGATTACACTTAGGACGGGCCTAGAAATCACAATCATTCCTAAGTGCTTTTCCGATCCGCCTCGTTAAACTTGATCTACACGTTTTAAAACCTAAACACACCAATTTGTAGGGTGAAACGTCATGTTTTTGA